AGGCCAAGCAGTCAGGGCCAGGGCAGCACAAGGGCGGCCTGTCTGCCCCTCCTCCCTGCAGTCTGCATGCGGGGACCCCTGCAGCACAGCCCACCCACCCAGCTCTGGGATGAGCAGTCGCAGCGGGAGGCGGAGCAGCAGGTCCTCCCAGGTACATGCTCAGAACACTCCCTCTGTGGGGTCCCCCAGCTGGGCCCGGAGCCTGCACCCCTGAGGACACAGGGCAGGAGGCAGGGCATACCAGCTGCACACAGCGACTCTCCCTGCAGCCCTGTTGCTGCAGGCCAGCCAGAAACATGGCCCTCGGCCAGAGACACGGCGGCTCCCACAGCAGGGCTGAAAGGCCCTGGACTTGGAGACAAAGCAGCTCTAAGGCAAGTGGACAGCTAAGAGGACTGAGCCCCTGGACCCGCCTCACAGCAGGACATCAAGGGCATAGACTCAGCAGCTGCCTGGGCCCAGGGGCCTCTTCCCCCCCCCCAGAGAGACATCAGGCTGCACTCTCCTGGCCACCCCTGCCCTGCTCTTCCCTGTCCTTCCTGCCACACTCCAGAACAGCAGAGGTGGTGCCCGATAAGTCACAAATCTTAGAACAAAACTGATCCTCCAAAGATTTAAACAAACAAACAAAAATTGGAGGGAAGCCTCAGGTGAAGGCAGGTGCCCTGCAGCCGCCCTAAGGCCTGAGCCTGTCCTGCTCAGTGCAGACAGACCTCGCTCACCTCGAGCACTGCAGACAGGGACTCGCTGGCCTCGGGCCAGCACTGACACAGAGTCTGCAGACGCACTCGCCTCAAGCCAGTGAAGCCTCGACTTACTTTGAGCTGGTGGCTTTGGCCAGAAGGACTCCTCCTCTGTCTTCAGGTCCCTCCCTTCCTGATGTGTGTGCAGAGTGGGGGGCTGCTGTTGAAGTCACATCTGGCAAGGTGTTGGAGACCCCAGAGTGTCCTCTGGCATCATCTCCCAAATCCCAGGTGTAGGGAAGGGAGAAGGCAGGTAGGGTAGTGGGAAAGGCAGGGTGGGCCTGCCTGCAGCAGTGGCTGGGTATTTCAGCACCTGCCAGGAGGCTTCCCCACCCAAAATAATCTCACAGCAGCTGCTATCGGCAGCAGGGGAGCACACGGGACTTGGCGCTAGCTACACAGAAGCCACGTGCACCAACGTGCTGCTGCTTTTAGCTTTGGGCTCTACTGCAGCATGCAGAGTGAAGAGTGCCCAGAGTGTCCCCAGCGTGCTGAGGACAGGAGGGCTCAGGGTCCCTCCAGCCCTGGCACCTCCACAGGGCAGGGATCCCAGAGCGGCCCCGGCGACTCCTCCCTCCCCTCCCTTTGTGGCCAGAAATGGAGGCCTTTTAACAAAGTAGTCCACATTGTCCATTGTGACAGTCGGGCCGTGTTCTGGTGGGACCCAATTGTGAAACTATCAGAAGCCTAGACGTTTTTCAAAAAGAGAAATCTTGCGAATTTTTCTGAACAAAAACAGATCTCAATGATGGGCTCCCCTTGGGGAACGTCACTCCCCAGCAGAGGCAGGCGCACTGTGGGGGTCAGGAATTGCGTGTCCTCTGCCCTGGCCTCACCAGTGGACGGGAGGGACTGCCTGCCTGCTGCCTGAGAGCTCTCAGTACCCAGAAGAATGAGGGCAGGTGCATGACAAGGGTCATGGAAGAGTGTCCACGGAGGAAGCCCAGGCCAGCTGGACACCTGCAGGCCCCCAGGGAGATGTCCACAGTGGGTTTGCAGGACCCTGGAGGGGGGGCAGGCAGTGCAGACCAGGAAGGGCTCCTGCGCGTGCATTCCTTGTGGCTTGGTCTCGAGAGGGGCAGGGAGACAGGCTCTCCTCTGTGTCCTCTGCTGGGCAGGGCTGGGATTCTGAGGCAGGGGCTCCTCCTGTGGCTCCTGGAAACAGAAGCTGCCTTCCCCCTGCATGAAGGACTCCGTGAGAGGACTGCTGCGCTGACCAAATGACCTAGACGTGAGGCTGGCACCCTCACACTCAGGCCCTTCTGTGTGATGGCCTCCACACCCCGGGCTCCGTCCCCACAGCCCACACTCACTCTCCACTCTCATCCCCAGATGACTCCTTTGGTTCACAGCCTCCCACGGCCGCCTCCTGCCTGCTGGTCACAAGTACAGCCAAGAGTGGTAGAAGTTTGGGTTAGTGCAAGTCTACAACTCACAGGTCACGGCAGGTGGACCAGCCACCCAGATGTGCCATCTGTCACAGACCCTGAACAGAAGCAGGCCTTGCCACACACAGTGAGAGCACAAATGCCCCTGCGTGCCTGGGATGCAGGGGAGCCCATGCCCAGGCACGGAGAGGCACTGCAGGTCCACCCCACCTGCGTCCACACTTGGGGTGTGAGTAGCTGAGCGCTAGCTCAGGTCTCCTGACGGCTCCCTGTTCTCATCGTGAGCACGAGTCGGACGCCTGGCCTTGTGGCTTCTGGAGCCTGCTGCCCCCACCCTGCTCTCCAGACCCGTCTCCAGGCCTCCCAACGCCCTCTCAGAGCCAGACTGAAGATCCCCTTCTGCCCACTACATCTGCCAAGGAAGGGGCCCTCTGAAAAATTAAACACCAGGGCCCTGAAGTCCCCACTGCTGCGGGGCATGCCGTCACACCGTGGGTTCCACCTGCACCACCACTCTCCTCCTGCGCCCTGCTCTCCACAGCAGCTCTGCAGGAGGCCAGTGTTCCCCAGAGGGAGAGGCCTTACTCACACCCACACCCAGCAGCAGAAAGAGCAAAGCTGGAAGACACTGCCCAGAGAAGGCAGGGCACTGGGGGCAGGGTACATCGCCTGCACCCCTCATCCTGGGCACCTGCACAGCTCCCTGTGCGTGCACTCTTGGCACTCCACAGGCATGGCTGCTCCCCCTCGCTGTCGCGGGAGGCACACGAGAGTGCAGGTGATGACCTCCCAGCGCCCTCCTTCTCTGGAAGCTCTCAGGACTCTCCCTGTTCTACCTTGACACCCCCAGGTGCTGGCCTGTGCACTCAGGAGGTGCTGGGTGACATGCTGTTGTCAGCAGGAGCCGGCACGCTGCAAACACCCTCTCTGCGCTGTCTGCCTTGCCAGCGCTGCACTATCCAGCACACCAGCTCCTGCCCACTCTCCCATGCCAGCCTGGAGCACCTCGTCCCTCAGTGTTCCCTGAGGCAAAGGGAGGCTGCACCTTTCTCGAGGCCTGGCCTCCTCGTCTGTGCTGCTGAGGCTGCTAGTGCAGCTGGCCAGAGGCTCATGTGGGGCTTAGCCAGGGCCTCCAGAGCCAGGCTTTGAGAAGGGGCCAGTACCTGACTTCTGGGCCCTGGCGTCAGTGGGAGTTTCCCCCAACCCAAGGATGCAGGCACCCTGAGCCCCTGAACATGCAACATGGCCACAGGCAAGGTCTGTTGTGAGAGTCTCATTCCCCTTGCTGCAGATCCTTCTGAGAACATGTCAGGGGTCCTGCCCCACCAGGAGCTTCCTTCCCCTGCAAAGGCAAGGCCTCCTCACTGTCCTGGAGCAAGACTGAGTGGTTCTTCACTGCTGGGATTTCCTGAGATGCTGAGCTCTGAGGAGGAGGCCCTGCCCAGCCAGGGGCCTTCATTCTGGCTGAGCTCTGAGCCCTGTCCCCTGAGAAGCCTTGTCCCTTCTGGAGGCTGGGCATGCCCCTCAGAGCAAGGTGGCCAGTGGATGCTGGCCTTGTTCTAAAACAAGATACAATCCTGGTTGACCTCATTTTCCTTTCCCAAACCAAATCTAACAGAGGCCTGCTACGTGGGGGGAAACTGAGACAGCAGACACTCTCTCCTATCTGTGCAGCTGCCTAATCCAAAGCATCCCTCAACACAGGTTTCCTTGATTGGCCTTTCTCCTGCTGGCCAGTGTGGCTCATGTTTCCAAATTCACAGAGGGCACATCCGCAGAGACCACAGGGCTCAGGCCCTCACTGAGTCCACAGACAAGCAGTGAGTAGCGGGAAGAGAGCAATGCCCACCACAGCTCAGCTCTGCAGCTGACACAGGTTCTGGAGACAGGGTGGTAGAGAAGTGCAGGGCTATTTGGGGACCACAACTGCTGGATGAGATGCTAATTCATAACATGAGGGCCTGTGTGTGAGGTCCACTTCTAGTGCAGATACAGGACCAGAGATGGGATCTGGCCACTGAGAAGTAAAATATATATATGTAAGTATAAAAGGGTGATGATAAGGCAACTTCAGGTCAACCTGGGGTAGCCACTGGGTAGAGTTCAGGAATCCAGGGACTCGGGTCACCACACAGCACAGCTCAGAATCACCAAGAGAACAAGGATGACCCCAGAGCAGAGCTGAAGATCCTCAAGGAAGCAAGAATGGCAGCAGGGCATAGCTCAGGACCAAAGGGCACAAGAGAGACATCTCAGGACCTCCAAGTGTGCAAGGATGACCCCAGGCTCAATCCATGAACCCCAAGTATACAAATGTGATCTCCCGGCACAGTTCAGGATACCAAAGGGCACAGGGTTGATCCCAGGGCCTAGCTCAGGTCCCCAAGCACGCTAGAGTGACGTTAGGGGACAGATCCGGACGCCAGTGTTGCAAGGGTGATCCCAAGGCACAGCTCAGGACGCCCAGTCCTGCCAGGGTGACCTCAGGGCAGAGCTCAGGACCCATCAGGCGTAAGGTGACCACACGTTCACGTTACGTTCCACCGTCCGCACAGCGAGCGTCAGGGTCCAGGGCAAGGCCAGGCTTGGGAGGGACACTACGGCGGGCGCACCAAGGGCGTCCCGAGGCATACGGCGGCGCCGCACCCCGACGGTGAGGGGAACAGGCACAGCGGCGAGCCCTTGGCGTCCTCACCTGCGGTCCCGCGGACCCGGGAGCCCTGCGGCGACGCCCAACAGGCCCGAACCCAGGTGCCCGGCCCGCGCCCGCCGCGTCGCCGTGGTTACAGGAGGACGGCCCAGGGCCACGCCCCCGACGGTCTCGCGAGAGCCGGCGCCCGCCAACTTCCGGCCGCCTCATTTCCGGGCGCCGCCTCCCTTCCGCCTGCTGGTGCGGAGCCCTGCCGGCCCGACGCTGCAGGCGAAGCGCGGTGGTGAGTCCCGCGCGTGGATCTGCCCCTCCCGGCGCCGCGCCCGCGCAGCGTTCTGGCCCCGCGCCTGGCCGCGCCGCCCCTCTGGCTGCCGCCTCTTGTTGTCCGCTGGGGTCCTGTCCCTTCTGCTGTCCGCCCCCTGCTCTGCTGTCCCCGCCCCCTGCTCTGCTGTCCCCGCCC